CTTTGAAGCTCGCCACCTCCCCCTCTTCCAGCGTGACCAACCGAGACAACACTTCTTCCTCATTTTGTTGACACTTAACCCCTACTCTTTGCCCCAACATGAACAACTTCTACACCTCATCCAGCTGGATCTGTTGCCGAATCACTTGGTTTCTATTCTGGATGCACCCATTGGACAGAGAGAAGCTTCCCGTCTGCAACTTCGACCTGGGTTCCTCTCAGTTGGCCTTGCTTCTTCGATCCCTTCTGCATTTTGTTCTTGCAGTTACCCAACTCGCCTCCCCTACTTTTAATTTTGCCTTCCCATCCACTGCAGCCCCGATACCCTCATTCCCCGCATATATTGCCCCTAAATCTCTGCTCTTCTTTTTTTTTTTTTTCCTCCTGTTGCTGAAGCAAACCATTACAAGTCAAAAATCCACTAACACACCCACCTACAACCCGTTGCTCACCAAACCTCGTTGCTGCTGGCCCAACCATGTCCACACCCTTCGGCCCAATTAAATCATCCCCCGCTAGCCCAACTAAGTCTGCCCCATCTAGCCCACACATCTCCATCCCAAATAATTCAAAATTTTCAAAAGACTCTCCTTCCATTGTAGCGTTCGTTACAGCTTGAATGTTGCCTTTCATGGCTTTATCCTCTCCGCAAAATCCGGTAGCAATTAAGCTAGATTCGCTGCCATCATCACTGGAATATTTTGAGACTGATTCTGACGTCGAATTCCTCCGCTCCCCGACCAGCCACCAGTCGGGATCCATCCTCCACTCCTCCTCAGCCACTTCAATCGGCTAAGCTTCATTACCGACCCTCAAGAGTATTGTTGCTGAAATTTTAGCCCTTGTTTCACACAAAATGAGAACCCGTCCTTCACACAAAAATGATTTGCTCTTCGTGTCTTCATCCACGAGTATGACCTCGCCAATTAATCCCCCTAGCTCGGCAAAGCATCGCTCACTCCATGAATGTAAAGGGACACCGGAAAATCGCAGCCACGCCAAACGACTTGCAAATAAAACCGTGGATAAGGATGTTGGTTGCACCCATTCGAACCATAACTCTGTTAGCTCCTTATTATTCTCTATGAACTCCACAAGACATTTTTTTGAATTATCAACCAAAATGATCTGTCTACCTCCTAACAATGCAACATTCACCATTAAACCATCAACATCCATCCTATGTTGAACTTGTCTCACCATATCTAGAGACCAGACCACAGCTACCATACTCCTATTTAACCAAGCCACTTCCTCATCACTTGGTAAGAATTCTAAAACCAAATTGCCTTGTATAGGAGACGATGCTCCGGCTACCCCTTCTGTTATCAACGGCACAGACAGTTTCTCTGAGGTTTTTTCAAGTATCACTGCAAAAGCCTTCATCGAGAAACCCTCCAATGCATTCCCGTCTGCTGTTTCCTCCATCTTTCTCGTTGCCATCAATTGTCTATCCCCCCTTGTTCGAGGACAAACCTTCCGCAATTGCACCCGGACTAGCAGCAATAGCCTGTGCATACGACCTCCCAAGTCTCACCCTCGCATCCCTTTTGACCCATTGTTTCTCTTCCCTTCTGTTTTGAGCCACCCTAAACTCAACCTTCCCTTTTTTCATATTCTCTGCCACCTTCACTTTAAGGCGATAGGAGTCCAACCAAATCTAGTTTAGTCTCCTCTCCATGTCCTTGACATCAAAGGCACCCGCCATACGTGCGAACCCAAACCGACGACCTCTTTGATCATGCCTTGTGGGAATATACACATCCACTACCTTCCTATATGACCAAAAACAGAACCACATATCCTTTGCTGAACGATCCTCTGGGAAATCATAGAAGAAAAATGTTGTAGCCTGCTCTAGGAACCCCTTGCCGAACCCTGGAAGCCGCCTCCGAACCCCACTGTCCTTGGTTGTCGAGAACCTTACTCTAACCCTAGCACTCTCTCT